CAGGCTGCCCAACTATTTTATTGAATACACCGCAACACCCTACTTCTGACCTTGGAGTTTTTTCGGGCTAGCATTCCTCAGGGTTCCTGATAATATCTCCAGTGCTGTTAATCGGTAAAGTATAATTTGCGCCAGAAAAACTTTCCAAACTCCAATCCCCCGGAAACCAGCTCAGCAAAACAGCGCCTGCACTCGGAAACGCTGGGTGCTCTGCTCAAGAGCACAGCACTCACAAGTTTCACGGTGCACTGCGGCTTAAACGTTGGGAGGTTAGCTTCCGGGTTTCAGGACTGCAAGTTTAGGGTTTTGAGACTACCCAAAGGCCCCAAAGTAGTTCCTTCTTGGGGTTCATATATAGAATCCTATAGGGTAACTCCAAAAAGGAACTACTTTGGGGCCTCTGAGACTAGAGCTCAGGGTCCGAGTCCTATAGGGGTTAGGGCCTCATTGGGGCTCTCGGATGCGGGTTGTTTCAGGGTTTAAAGTTTCTAGGATACCCAGTAACCTAAGGGTTTAGAGGTTTAGGGGTTTAGGGTTTATAGGGGTTTAAGGGCTTAGGGGTTTAGGCTTTAGGATTTAGGGTTTAGGATGCCCAGTAACCTAAGAATAAAAAGGCCTTTTTTTTTTGGTATTGGGTAACTTTATAAGGAACCTAGGACTACAAAAAGGGAGTAAGGGTACTACTGGGCATCCTAGGTTTGGGTTCAGGGCCGACCAGGGAGTTTCCGAAAATTAGGGCCCTTATTTGGGGGTCCTTGTAATAAGGATCCTACTATGTCGGGTTCTATAATAGGCTCCCCTATTTTTGGAAACTCCCACCATTCAGATGAGGTTTCGGGCTGAGACTGGGTTTAAGACTCAGGGGAAGCCATCACATTCAGTGTTTGAAGACAAAGCCTGCAGCTGCTGCAACTCCTGAGGTGACACAAAGGCACAAACACGCATTCCTCGGGGTTATGGCTGGGTTTAATGGGGCGGTGGGCGGGTAAGGTCTTGATTTGTGGGGTTTAGACTGAAGCAAGCCTAGGGCACGGGGCAGAAGCCAAACTAAGAAATGTAGGGCCTAAGATGCCCTATGTAAGCCTAGGGCACAGGGCAGAAACCAAAGCAAGAAATGTCGGGGCTCTGTTTCGTATTATGCTGGTTTCCATTCACAGGGCAAGACCCAAAATCAAAAATTGGGGGGCTACGTTTCTTGTCTCGGTGGCTTCCGGGCCGTAAGCCTAGGGCACAAAGCAGAATATGTAGGTAGTATGGGGCTATGTTTCTCATTCTGCTGGTTTCAACAACCCTTGGTGTGCGGCTATGTGCTGGCAGCTGCATCTAAACACTAAAGTGTAATAGAACACGGTCTTGGCAGTGTCTGTCTAGCCTGATGGCAAAAAACCTTGAGGCTCAGGACCTAGACTTCCGTGGGCCCGATCCCCGGCTGGACATGGGCAAGAAACGAAAAGTACCCGTGAGCCGGGACATGCGGAAACGCAGCCGCCGTAGCCGTAGCAGTATAGCAGTATAGCAGTATAGCAGCATAGCAGAAGCAGAAGCAGAAGCAGCAGCAGTAGCAGTAGCAGTAGCAGTAGCAGTAGCAGTAGCAGTAGGAGTAGGAGTAGGAGTAGGAGTAGGAGTAGGAGTCGGAGTCGGAGTAGTAGTAGTAGTAGTAGTAGTAGTAGTAGTAGTAGTAGTAGTAGTAGTAGTAGTAGTAGTAGTAGTAGTGGTGGTCGTAGTAGTAGTAGTAGTAGTAGTAGTAGTAGTAGTAGTAGTAGTAGTGGTAGTAGTGGTAGTGGTAGTAGTCGTCGTCGTCGTAGTCGTCGTAGTAGAAGTAGTAGAAGTAGTCGTACAAGTAGTAGTAGTAGTAGTAGTAGTAGTAGTAGTAGTAGTAGTAGTGGTGGTCGTAGTAGTAGTAGTAGTAGTAGTAGTAGTAGTAGTAGTAGTAGTAGTAGTAGTAGTGGTAGTAGTGGTAGTGGTAGTAGTCGTCGTCGTCGTAGTCGTCGTAGTAGAAGTAGTAGAAGTAGTCGTACAAGTAGTAGTAGTAGTAGTAGTAGTAGTAGTAGTAGTAGTAGTAGTAGTAGTAGTAGTAGTAGTAGTAGTAGTAGTAGTAGTAGTAGTAGTAGTAGTACTAGTACTAGTACTAGTACTAGTACTAGTACAGAAGTGAGAATGTGAAGCCAAAAACACAACAAAACAAACACACGCAACAGAAATACAACACAATATACCCAACACAATATCCTACAAGTAATCACAAGAAGCATAACAACAGATGCCCGAGTGCTCGAGAATATCCCTGAAGCGCCCACCGTGGCAGCCGAGCCGCGAATAGCTTTAGGTGGCCAGCTGTTGCAAAGCCTTGGGAGCTTGAATGCAACTTCCTGAAGCTCTGTAACATAGAGCAATCATACGGTAATGGGAACAGGGCTTTCGGGTTATGATATGGTGCCCTCAGGAAATTATGTAATCTAGTAGGCATTCAAGCCCATACATTACAGCGTTGTTGGGGTTTACAGCCCTCCGCACAATCCACACCCAGAGGCCGAAACAAGGGCGGCCGCCTTTGCTGCGGCCTCCTCAACACCTCTCTCGTACCTGTGCTCTTTCTTGCGCTGAGGGTTCAGGAGTCTTAGGGTTTAGAGTCCTCCTCATGGAAAGTTAGGGTTTAGGGTTTAGCTCTTCTTGTATGATTTACGGGCTAGGTTGCTCTTGAGATTCTTGGAGCCGATTGACAACTTCAACCCGAAATGCTCAACCATGGGAAGTAGGTAGGTTTATAGACAGTTGCTGAGCCATAACTTCAGTTGGGTCTACAGGACGCCGCGCAAAGAAGCTTGGGGCTTGAGCTTACATGTGGGGGCTTGGGCTTGTGAGTTGCGGGTAGCAAGCCGCGCTTCAGTAAGCTCCCAGACTCAGAAATCTCTCCACACACAACTATACTGAACTTAGAACCCTAGCAAAAATCATAATTGTAGCTGTTTCTTACGGGTTATAATAACCCCAAAATAATAAAACTATTTCTAAGCACCCCTAAGACAAGGCATCTCGGAAGGAAGAGTATGAGCCCGGCACCCCGTAGTATCTATGTCAGCCATCCAGAGCTCCAATACCCCCTAAAAAAATTCCTGAAATTATAGTAGGATCCTTAATATGATTTAAGGTATATTCCTCAAAAAAAGGGTATTGGAGTCTCTGGGCAGAACTCCTAGTCTCAAAGATGAAGCAGTGACTTACCTTTGGTTCGTAGGGAATGGAAGGGGGCCTTAGAAAGGGGTCTATAAGGGTTACTATAAGGGATCTATAAGGGTACTCTAATAAAGGGGCCTTAGTAATCCTATAGCTCACCTTCGGTTAGTAGGGAATGGAAGAACGGTAGCAATAGTAGTTATAATTGTGCCCCATTCCTCCATTCCCTACTAACCAAAGGTAAGATGAAAACGGTAATGACAGTGCTGGTTCGATCTCAGCAGACTTTGCGGGACAGAAATGGCCTCTCGTCATCGGAGAAGACCAGGTCATCTTCGCAATCGGCCAGCTGCTCAAGCACTGCTCTTCTGTTGCACCATGGCCACACCGGGAAGTCATCCACGACCGCCTCGGCTTGACAGGGTCGTTTAAAACGTTTTGGCGTCTGAACATTGTTGGAAGCTCCCTGAATGAAGCTAAGATCTTTCTCTCAAGATCTCTTTAAAAAGAGGGACAAAGATGTTTGGGGCACCCGAAAAGAGCCACTCCAATATAGGATTAGCTGTCAGCCCAACCATCTGGAAGACGCTCCAAAGACCAACCCGAGGAGCCAAAACATGGCCCGGCACGGCCTGTCGGAAAACCTCCTGTGCCTGCTCAGTCACCTCCGAGTGGATCTTGAAAGAACGTTTGCTAGGGTCCAGTCAGGGTAAGGATTCAAGTTCAAGGTCTCGGCTTACTTCAAGATCTGCGCTTAGACAGTGAGGGTTTCGCATGGTTTCGGGCATTCCGGACCCCTCTTCGAGTCCAGGGCCAGCGTCTTAAGATATAGGTCCCTGGATGATTGCATGAACCTTGGCGGAGTTGACTCTTGGGTTTAAGATTTCGGTTTAATGCTGCGAGGTCCTTAGGTGAAGCCTTCGGCCATGCATTTTTTGGACCTGCAGGCTTGCCAATACCCCGAACGTAGCAGTGGTGTGCCTATAGATGCTGGCGGCTCAGCGCTAGATGCTGACTCTAAAAGTTTAACCCACTGCAGGCTGTTGGGGCATTTTTTAGATTTGAGGGTTTTGGATTGGTTTAGGGTTTAGGGATGAGGAAACCCTAAACCCAAAACCCTGGATGATGGTCTGACAGGTCCGAGGGCTTATGCCCACAACCATGGCACAGACTTCAGGCTTCCAAGACTCTGACTACTTAGAGGCCCAGAAGACTTAGTAAGTAGGTTATAAGTAGAGTTATAAGTCCCCTAATTGGAGTTACCCCACTTATAACCCTGCTTATAACCAACTTACTAAGTCCCCTGGGCCTCCAAGTAGGATGCCCTGTAAGGGCTGGGAGGCCCAAAAGGGGGGTTTAAGTTTCTTGGGGTAGGGATTCCTTAATATTAACCCTAATATGGGAACCCTAATCCCTGCTAAACCCCCATAGGCTAAAACCCCTTGTGGCCTCCCATGAAACTGACTTTATAAGGAACCTAGGACCACAAAAGGGGAATAAGGGTACTACTGGGCATCCTAGCTGAAGTCCAGCGGCCAGCCGTTTGAGTTCTGGGCTTAGCGTCTTGGGCTTTGGTTCTCGAGGCTTCGAACCAGAGTAAAAATCATGTTCTTATTAATCCCCTTTAAGTTTTATAGTGCAAGAAATTGAGACATAAATACTGAGAGCAGTAAAGGAGGATTAGGGCTTAGGATGGCGCAGGGCTTGTAGAGTTAATATAGGGGCCTTGATAATCAGAATAGGGTTTTGGGGCCCATCATACTACAACTCTAATAAGGAGCCCCCAGGTAGTGTAGGTGATTACTAAGGCCCCCATATTACAGTCATCAGCCAATTCCTGCCTTGAGCACACGGGGCGGCTTGGACCAAAGGATCTGGACCCCGGCGATCCAATTGTAGCCTGCATGTCAATATGGACGAGTTACCTACGTCGTGAGTTGCTGTCCTGACACAACCACAGCATAATTGTATCCCAATTTATGGAAGTTTCGGGCCCAAACAACCGAACTCATATGACCAGGGCGCTCAACAACGGGAAACCTTCTTCGTTCTTTTCGCAAACCCTCAACAAGCGGTAATGGGCCTTCAGGTAAGTTCTTATCCTTGTGGCGCTTCTTGCCGCGCCGGAGGGCCCTCTTTGCATCGGCACGGACCTTTTCCCGGATCGGTGGACTCAAACACCCTTCAAAATCCAAGCCGACCGCATCCTTGGGAGATTGCGCGAGGAGATGCAAGACCTCTGCCCTCTCCAGCTCGCCGACATCGGTGCCATGTACGGACTGCAGCCGATCTCCAGGAGACATAGACGGATAGAATTCCCGAACGTCCGGCAGAACCTCTTGCACCTCTGCTGGTGAGCTCCATCTTATCAAAATTCCCGCGATCCAGTCGAGACTTTCAGAACTGTTGTCTGGTTCAGCCAGGAGTGCCTTCTGGGCATCCTTCCGAATGGCTTGAATGTGCAAATAATAAGCAGGCTTAGTGAGTCCAAGACTATCCATGGATGCCATCCGCTCCAGGATGGGCTTCCTCCCCAGCTCTGACACAACTTTGCCATCGATTGTAAACAGGACATCCCCCGGAAGGATGGGGTTGTGGAACACTTCTTGGGCCTCTGGGGTCGCCGCGCGAATAACCGGCGGGGTTGTCCAAGCAATGAGCAAACCACCGCACCAATCACAGCCAGTTCCTGTTTCAGCCCAGATCCTCCAATATCCCTGAAGCTAGGAAGACCTGAAGTTAGTGGGCGGGATCCCGGCTATGATTTAAGGAGGATTCCTAAGGCGTGCTGGAAGCTCCTGTCTGTGACTCCGGATCTTCCTGCGGCCCAGTTTGTAGTGCCTTCCTTGCATCGCGTCTCCTGGGAAACAAATAAAACACGTTTAAAAAAAAAACAAAAAAAACAAACCTTCATTCAATAATGGCTCTTACACATGGACACCGGACAACAAAAAGAGCAGAAAAGTATAGATCCCAGCTTCAAGGGAGACAGACCTCCAGGCCTTTCGAACATCATGTCACCTGCGTAGTCTGCGAGCAGCTCTAAGACTTCTCCTCTTCCCATGTCCAACACCTGCCACGGTGGCTTACTTCCCCAAGAAACCCACAGAAATAGAAGGTTAAACTTGCCGAGTCCTACTCAACCATAGGAACCCAAAAAGTTTAAAGGTTAGGTAGTGGGGATCTAAGAAGGGGGGGGGCGGGTTCCTTCTTAGCCTGACTCTCTGTTGGGTTCACGCTGCCCGGTCGGAACCTTCGATCATGACAACCCTCATGCTCTTTTTTGTCAGGGTGGTTGTCAAAATTAGGGTCCCTTGTTGGGAACCCTAAATATTAGGTGCCATATTATAATAAGGACCTTAGGTGCCGTATTATAATAAGGAGCCGAAAAGGGACCATAATTTTGACAACCACCTATATGTAACGTTCTAGGATAATGTGGCAAAATGCCCTGTTCAATTTTGTAAGAAACATATAGATTACCGGATGCGACCCAAGACACTGATGTGCCGTCTATGCTCAGCACATAGTCACCCACCTCCAGATCCTTTGCTGGTTGATCATTGCAGGATATTGCGGGGTTGAACGGCGTGCACGCTAGTTAAAAGCTGTACTAGGGGTCGGAACGGATGTTTCCAAATTAAGCAAGTGAAAAGGATTGTCGGCAAGAGCTGCACAAACTACATATTCAACGCTACCGTACTTTACCCCATAATTTAGATTAATTCCTAAACCCTAAGCCCTGAACGCCTAAGCCCTAAACCCCCAAACGCGTACCGTAAACCTGTCGGGTCACGTGGGGGTTCCGTGCTACGGCCTTAAGGGAGCTGTTCGAAACGAGGCTCTTTATGACACTGCAATCCGACTGAAGCTAATACCTCATAACCTAGCCCGAGCTTAAAACTTTCCACGCGCAGGCCATGGGGTGTATGGAATGCAACTGAATTTCAGTTTTATGCCTCATCGGCTTCGGACAAAGCACGCAAAAACAACACAAACAGCTTGATACTCAGCCCAGGGTGTCGGATCGTCGCATACTCTCTGGGGAGAGTTCTCGCACAATCGGTGGCTGCGTCCACGCCAGCCGTACCCCGGCAAGCCTTAAGGGATTCAGGTTCCGCCAAATACTGTCTGGTTCTTAGTAGGGAATGGGGGAATGGGTTATTGGGACTATTAGAGGGGACCTTAAGACGATCAGAGGGATCCATTCCCCCATTCCCTACTATAAGCACCAGACAGCCTAACACAGTGGTGAGGGTCTCTGCTGCTCCCGATGATTTCCTGGTGGTCTCCTGGTCGTTTTTGGTATTGGGGTGTGCTGGTCGGGGTGGTCACGGTCGTCCCGTGTCGTGGCCGTTGTGGTCGTGGTCGCCTTGGCCGTCGCGGCCGTCGTCGTGGTTGTCATGGTCACAGCCTAGGGGTCCTTATTGAGGATCCGTCCTTTTACCCTTGGAGTATATTCTTTTTTCATGTAAACCCCCTATGCCCTAAACCTTAAATCCCTAAACGTTGAACCCCCGAATCCTACAAGGGTAGAACGGTACTTATGATTCAGACAATTCTCTGTCTGTCTATCTGGTTTAGGGTTTAGGGTTTAGGGGTTTAGGATTTAGGGTTTAGGGTAACTATCAACTATCTAACTAACTATCTATCTATCTATCGGCGACTATCGATCTATCGATCGATCTATCTATCAATGTATACCGTGTTTTCCTATTTGTGTAAGTTTAGTCATTCTGTAAAATTTCTTATAGGTTACTTTAGCGAGCTATGATAATTACATTTAGGCCTTTAACCCTAGAGCTTTGCCCTAAACCCTAAGCCCTCATTAAACCCCAGCTGCCAATCGGAGCCTTCCTTGCTCTCTGCGTCTGGATGTGACCCCGAGGAGAGCAGCAGAGCCTGCAGCTTGAACCCAAAGACACAAGGGTTTAGGGTTTAGGGTTTGCGCTTAGGGTTGAGGATTTAGGGTTTACGGTTTAGTTAGGGTTGAGGATTCAGGGTTTAGGGGTTTGCGGAGGGTTTCGGGGTTCTATAACTTACTTCGAGGGTGATGGACCTGTTTTATCGTAGAGTCAGAGTCAATATAGTATATACCCTGAATACTAGGATCCTTATTAACCCCAGCAGACTTGAGCCCTCAACACTGAATGACCTGCCCTTTTTCGCCTTTCTGATTACAATTTCCGTTTCCAATCCTTTAAAAGGTAATTTTCTTTTTGGGGAGCGGGGGGAGGATCTCCAAGCAAACCCTACAAGATTGAAGGCTAAACTCTAAATACTACGCTTCCACATTTTCAGAAAATGGTGCCGGAGCTTGAATAAGTCCAGTCTATATAATGGGGTTAACGCTGAACCCTAACCCAAACTTAAAACCCAAACCCGAAACTGAGTTGAGTTGTCCGGAAGGGTTTTGGTAGCTCAGGATGGATACTTCGAAATCAAAATATAGAGCTGGGGGGTGTCTTACTAGACTATGATTATGATAAGGAACCCTACGGATACTATTACTAATTGTAAATTACATTTAAGGCCGCAAAGTCGTTCCTTTTTGGGGCTCATATATAGAATCCTTTAAGGTGCCACCAAAAAGGAACTACTTTGGGGCCTATGAGTAAAGATTATAGTAGGGACCCTAATAAGACATCAGGAATTATCCTCAATTCCTGGAAAGAGCCCCTAGAGATCCCATTAAGGAGCCCTTGAACATTACACGGCTTTCGGCCAGCGCTCTTCGGCTCGCAGTACGGCTTTGGGATCGAGAATGCTTCGACAAAAGAATCCACTTGAATGGTTGTGACAATCAGGGTCCCTTTTTGGGTCCCCATTATGATACGGCACCTAATATTTAAAATGCCCAAAAAGGGACCCTAATTTTGACAACTACCCACTTGGTTGTAGGCTGCCTGGCTTGGTCCATAAGCCATCAATAACTTGTAAGTTTACCGCCCAAAACGCAAAAAAACAACTGAGTAAATCCAAAAGGCCAAAGCACTGAACCCCAAACTCCTCAACCCGAAGTTCGAAGCAATTACACTCTGAACGCTAAACCGGCCACATCAAGTTTTGATTCGCTACAGCCACAAGACCCCCAGTTCTGAAACGCTAAAAGAGATTGAGCATGCCTCTTGTGCGGAGATCCACAACGCTGCACGAACGCTGTCAGTCGGAATCACCTGAAGAGGGGAGTAACACTGCCGGGTCGAGGTTCGGGTTCACGGCAGGGGCTTTAGGTCAAGAGTTAGACAGTTCCGGGTCTGTTTACAGCTTAGGGTCTTAGGGCCTTAGGGAAGGGGCCAAACTTGGGGCTCCGACGTGCGATCCATCATAGATACGTCTCACTGCCATATGCGGGTTGGTCAACATCACCCTTCCAATCTCCATCATCATCATCATCACCACCATCGTCCTCATCAGCTCACCGCCTGATCCTCATCCTCGTCCTGATCATCAGTCGGACAGCCGTGGGAACCATCAACACCACAAGCATCCCGATGAGCGGCGCCAGCATCAATGTGTGAGTTTCCGAAAATAGGGGACCCTAATATAGTACCCTAATAGTAGGACCCTTTTTATATGGACCCCCTAATATAGTACCCCAATATAGTAGGATCCTTCTTAGAAGGACCCCAAATTGTGGTACCCCTAATTTTCGGAAGCTCCCATGTCAACACATCAAGATTAAGGAATAAACCTAGGGTTCCTTAAAAGGGCTCCTTTAAGGGATCTATAGGGTTTGGGGTTTGGGGGAGTCTAATATCCCTTAATCAAGGAATAGAACTTAAATCAGATTATGGATCCTACTACACTTTAAGGTATATTCCTTAATTAAGGGGTTTTGGAGGCTCTGGGTAGCTTTTAGGTGCCGTTCCCGAAATGTCCGGACACGACCTGTGCTTTTAAATTCAGCCTACCGGGGCCTCAGTTCTGAGTAGATCAGCACTGCGCATAGAGGCTCCGAAGGCTGATTTCGGTAGAGCTGAATAGCCACACATCACCTGGGCCTCAACCTTGACATAAACTCGAAAGCCCACACTAACGGTATAGAACCTCTACAGAATCCTTCTGAGATCCTTACAACGTTCACTCTTTGTTCTATGTAGTGTTAGTGGATCCCACCCACCTTGATCGAGCCACGGAAGTCTTCCAGCAGCCCCACAATATGCGCGCGGCTCTTGCGATGCACATCCTGCTTGGGGGCTTTGGAGGTTCAGGGTTTCATTTGTTACGGGAGGTGACCCTAAACCCTAAACCGCTTCTGTTCAGCTTCGGGCCTGAGCACCTTAGCACAAAAATTGTTAACTACAGTAGAAGCCAGAAAGTTGGAATATGATTATCCCAAACCCTTTATGGTAAATTATAGGGTATCCTACCATGAAACCATATTCCAACTTTCTGGAGTTCCCTTTAGATCCAAGAGTAACCCACGAATAAAAAGGGTGCCCTTTTTGGTTTAAAGGGGCTTACCAGGGAACCTGAACCCTTAAAAAGGGAATAAGGGCCTACTCTGGGTCCTAGTTAACCTCTTCAATTTTGTCAGGAATATACAAAGCCCAAGAGGTTAAAGGTTACCCATCCAGCTAGTACGCAGGGGATGCAGGGGTTAGGGTTTCAGGTTTAGGGTTTGGGGAGCTTGGGTGTAAGGTTGGGGTCCTCTCCGTCGATGGAAGCCAGAATGCCACTTTGATGCTGCAAACCAATGACCTCCTCGACATAAGCACGTTCCGATGGGATAACTCGAACCGCCGGGGGCGTCTGCCAAGAAATCTCGATGCCACCGAACCTGCAACAACCAATACATTGTCAGCAGAGGATCAAAACACTTTTTGGATCAAGGAGTTTGACCGCAAATAGGAACCTAAATCAGAAGACTCCTTTTTTTCAATCATGACATAGGTTTGACATGGGTTTGGAGTCCACGGTGTATAGGGCCCAGGCTACTTAAGGAACATTGGGCTGCGGCGGCACCGGTCACTGAAGAAACCCAGACGCTGGTGTAGCAAAGAACATGCTCTGCTGCTGCTTGTCTCAGTCTTAAACCAAAACCCTGAAACCCTAAACTCTAAACCCTAAACCCTGCTAAACCCTTAAACCCTGAACTCTAAACCCAAAACCCCTGCAACCCTCAAACCCTAAACCCTTAAACCCTAAACTCTAAACCCTCTACTAAACCCTTAAACCCTTAACCCCTAAACTCTAAACCCCTACTAAACCCTTAAAGCCTTAACCCGAAACCCTCTACTAAACCCTTAAACCCAAAACCCTTAAACCCATAAACTCTAAAGACTCCACACCGTACTAAACCCTAAACCCTTAAACCCGAAACCCCAAAGCAAAGCCAGCCCGGCATGCGATGTGGTTGGTAAACTTGCAAAAGGGCTTTCGCGCAACAGAGGGGCCTTAAGACTTGGAATAAGGTTCCTAGAAAAGGGCCCCTTAAAAGGTTCGATAAGGGTTTCTATAGAAAAAGGGTTCCTTTTAAGGGGTTTCTGTTAAGGGCTGTTTGAAGGTTCAGGGTTCAGGGTCAGAGCTTAGGGTTTAGGGATTGGAGGGTGTAATATAGGGGCCTTTGTCATTAGAAGAGGGTTCCTAAACACGGCCCCTTATAGTACTGGTAGTTATTTAAGCCCCTACAATAGAAACTGCAGACGAAAACAGGGAGAGACCAGGTCATTGACTAGACCTAAGAGTCACGTAGAAACAAAAGGGTGCCCGTTACAACGGAACCTGATCCCCAAAAGAAGGAATGAGAGGTCCTAGTTGAGCATGCAAGCAGCACAAACGCTCTTGAATGATGTTTTGTTTTGACTAAGGAGCCGCGTTCAACTGGCAATCCCTCGGGTTGGCTTCAAGGCGTCCGGGATCGTCCGTCTGCTTGGCCAGGAAGGGCTGCACAAAAGCGCTGATCCAGAGCTCGAATATCTGCGGGGGTCCCATGTCCATCTCCAGGAACAGCCCGAGCCGAGTTTCCGAGCACAAGGCAGCCGCTCCCACTTCGGATCGCCGGCACGACTCGCAAGAATCGCTCGAAGGCGAATTTTTCGAGATGCCATAACGGTGCAAGAAGCACTTGCCCCCTGCCTGATGCTCTTGGACTTCAAACTCGACGTTGTGCATGCTACGAATGATCCGCGCTCTGAGAGCACGGCACAGCAGCATGGTAGCTGCCGGCAAGCCTTCGAGAAGATGCTCCCGGTTGGGCAGGAACAGCTCGGCTGTGGCGCCGTCGCAGAGCAGCAGCGGCTTCGTGCGCAGCGCAGCCGGGCGATTACCGATCTCCTCTAAAAGCTCGATCCACTCGACCTCCCGCGAGGAGTCCTCGTCCTTTCTGGTGCGCACGATGCTGAAGCTCTTTCGATCCACCGGAAGGCCCACGCCTTGGAAAAGCTCACGCACGAAGGCCTTGAGCGCCGGCAACACGGCTTGCAGTTTGAGGCCTTCAGAGACTGGATGGTTTACGACAATGCTCCAGGGAACGGCGCCCCACATGCGGTTGCGGAAGTCAGACGCATGCTGAATGCTCATTGTGAGATCTGCTCTAGTCATCAAGGAAATTACTCGCGAAGTCTCCACATCCTCCATATTGTCTGCCAGAGTTCCATACAAGCACCTGCGCAGTGTAGCCGGAACAAGCCTCCTCCACTCTGCTACCAGGGTGTGGCAAGAGCGGCAGATTGCAGCAATTCGACCTGCTGACTCCTCCAAAGCCAACAGCTCTTTCGCAGTCTCCTTGGCTGAAAGACCCCGTACCCCGCTGTCGAAGAAGCTGAAGTCAATGTAGCCGCCCAAACTCACGTTGCGGGAGTCCAAGAGCTGTCCGAAGATGCAGGCTATGAGGCCGGAAGGGAGGCGGCCATCAATCGCTCGCGCCAGAGATTCGGGCTCGGCGTGCTCCTCATGCTTTTCTCGTATGTCTTGTGGCGCAGGCTCGTTACCGAGAATGGGCAGCCAGCGACCCACTGGACTTGGGTCGAAGCACACATACAGCAGCTGCGGTCCCTCCCACCGCAAGCATCGCTCGCCCACCATCTGCCTGCTGCAGTGCAGGTCGTCGGTGGGGTCTGCGCGGGTCTCTACAGTGATGGCCCAGAGCCCCAAACTGGGCTCGAAGGCCAAGTGTATGCAGCCTTTTTGAAATCGACTCCCTGCTGTCGATCCGAGTGCATCTGCAATGCGCGTGTAGCGCCCGACGAGTTCGGGCGTGCCGCAGTGCCCTACGGTCAACCCTGCTGGCACAACCGGGGTGGCCACCACCGAAGGCATCTGTTTGCACAGGAACTTGAGTGCGAGCTCGAGGGTCACGCGCCAGCAAGCCTTGACCTCTATGAGAGGTTGACATCGAGGTGCTGGCCGAACCCAGCCGCCTGTGCCCCCAACTTCGGTGACCTTTCGATCCGGTAGCAAAATCTTCTCTGCTCCAGTCAATGGATGGCGGAGCAGCCGTTCTCGGAGCGAAGATAGCTTGCCTTGGGTCTCGCAGTCAAAGAAATCGCTCAAGTGAAGCTCTGACTCTCCCGGTGCGAAGGCCTCGAAGCTCAGCCCATCCAGCTCCCCGAAGCCTCGAAGCACCACTTGCACCGATTGAGGATCATCACTGCTGCTCACGTCACAAAGGTGAGGCTGTGAAGTCACAATGCTGACCATCCCGTCGTCGTCCTCATCCTCCAGAACATGCGCTGAAGACACGTGCAGCTCAACATCGACCCCCAGTGTGAAGTGGTCGTCAGTGCAAGACATCGCCAAAAAGGTATCGCTTCCGAGGCACTCACATCCTTTGACACCATCAAGTCTAACCCGAGAGCCATCGATGAAGCCATGGCCGGGAGCAAAAACGCGGCCTTCTTTGACGGACACGCACGGGACCCCGCCCGTGCTGGCCATCTCGAACCACTGCAAAATCCTCCCTCCACGAGACAATATTGGCCCGACATGCCTCGTGTTGTGATAACGCGGGCTATCCATCTATCTATCTGCCTATGTATCTACCGATGGGTCGATCTATCTGTGTAAACACCTAGTACAGTAGAAGCCAGAAAGCTGGAACATGGCTTTAGGAGGATTAGTGCTAGGATCCCTTACAACTTTCTGGCTACTACTATAGGTGTCCGTAAAGGCGTTGTTGAAGAGACACACGCAGTCGTCTCCTTCAGCTGCTCTCGGATCTCTCGTGATCCCTGTGACCAAACGATTCACTGAAGCTTCTCTCTCTCTCTGTGCATCTATTCAGCCAAAACCTATGCAGACGCACGTAAACCTGTCTAGAACCACATGATGTGGAAATTTAGGTGAACTCATGTAGAACCACATCCAGCCAGACATACAACTGAAGATCCCGCAAAACAGGCCAAAGGTGCGTGTCGCTGCCTGTCGCCGTCTTCCGGGCAGCCTACGGGGGTGAGACATCCAGATGCATGCAATGCATACCCGCATCCACGCATTCGCATAAATATCCATGTATCCATGTGTGTATATGTACATACAGGCTTACACAAACACATACATACAAACGCGCACAAACACACGTTGTCTGGGAGCACCGAAGACCTGAGGCCTAAAGCCCCGACGCATCGGCTTTCAGTGTTTTAAAGTTGCCACCGGCAGCCTACAGTCACCCCATGGGCCCAAGTACCCAATAATCATATACTCTCCAAAACCCTAACCTACATAACTACTATCCTAAAACCGAGTACCTCATTATCGGGTGCTTTGGACCCTTGGGGTCAGTGAAGAACGTACCACCAGCTTCGAGGTTTGAGTATCCCCAAAACCGATTACTATAAGGGCCTAAATACAGGGAACTCCAGAAAGTTGGAATATGGTTTCATGGTAGGATACCCTATAATGTACCATAGAAGGGTTAGGATAATCATATTCCAACTTTCTGGCCTTTACTTTAAGGTTTTGGAGCCCATGATACATGAATTTCGGCCTAAACCACTCCCTTGAACTGCCAAAAACCGCTTGTTTGTAGGACTGCCTACAAGGGTTTATCGTAGCCTAAGAACCTACTCCAAAAAACGAGTTATGGTAGTAGGTTAACGCACATCTTCAACTCTACAACCCTGAACAAGTAAGCTCTAGGCTTTGAGTTTCGAGTTCTCGCTGTACGGTTCGAGGCTTAGGACAAAACCCCAACCCCAAAGCCCCAAAACGTTGCTGCCTCTGCGGCGTCTGCCCTCACTCGCTGTTCCCAGTTCTTCCGGCGCGCGCTAGAGTACTCTGCACGTCTGGTTTCAGCTTCACCTCCGAGGGAAGGTCGTCCAACCGTTCACCGGAAATCCTGAACCTGCATGGCATAAACGACCTCCTAAACCTTGCAGTCCCTGAAGTTCCCAAGTCCTGAAATTATGCCACAGAGCCCAATATATCCGCGCCTTCAGAAGTACCCCTAAACCCCAATTTCGAAGCCCTAAACCCTGTAAACCCTAAATCCCAAGCCCTCAAGGCCCTGAACCCTAAACCCTTTGGTTCAGAAGTCGGTGCCTTTCACGAACAGGGGCTCTGCTGTTGACTTGGCGTCTCAGGGCACGTCGTAGATTGGATAATCGGGGTGCGTTGGGGGTTTACGGTTCTGTTTAAGGTCTAAAGGTTTAAGGTCTAGGGTTTACCTGTAGCCGAAAGGGCCTAACTTTTTTGGGGTTTCTTATTATGGTTTTTAAATATAGCTTTAGTTCCTTAAAAAGCTAGGTCTTTTCGGCTACAGGTAGGGTTTGGGTTCAGGGTTTAGGCGCGTAGCTGGTTGTGAGCCTTCAGCCACAATCCTGCTTCCAGAGTGTTGTTGGCTTCAACTGATGTTTAGAATTTAGGATGTGCGTAGTTGTCAAAATTATGCCCCCTTTTGGGGCATCCTAAATATTAGGTGCCGGATCATATTAAGGACCCAAAAAGGGACCGTGATTTTCACAACCACTCATGTGTTCTCTCTGTGTGTGGGGCCGGACGTTCGAATCCAACACAGGGGCCATAAAGTTAGAGTAGGCTTTTGGTTTTCAGTAAAGACCACATCCTGCAAAAAATAGGGAGCCAAAAGGGTTACACCGTTCCTAAACCCTAAACCCTAGACCCCTAAACCCCTAAACCCTAAACCCTAAACCCTAAACTCTAAACTCTAAACATTTATAATAGTCACACCTATTGGTTACTCCAAAATCCCGAGTCCGAGTCTAACCACTGAGGCTCAAACCAGTAAAGAGCCACAGGAGCAAGAACCGAAGAGCAAAGGATCACTCCAAAGGGCCCTCAGGGGATACTTTCCCAAATCATCATGCTGATTCCTATAACATAGAAACCCTACATTCTATATATACTACATAGAGAAGCCCTACATGCTACATGGGTGCTTAGGACCCCTTTCGACAAGGGGCGATCTTCACGATAGATCGCCTGGAGCTTGCTGTCTGACTTTGCAACTGCCGTTCGCGCTCTTTCCTTCCTTGCCGGGCGGCGGCTACTTGGACTTAGCAAGTAGTCATTTTATAGGGTCATAAGTACCCTAGAAGGGACCCAGACTAGGACTTGCTAAGTCCCCCGACCCTCCTAGTAAGTAAGACCGTTTGAAGAATTAAAGGCTACATGTCCTTCACAGGATACTCGGGACATGCAAGCCCACCACCGAGACACGAGACTTCAAGATGTGTTGGATGTTACCCTAAGGGTCCATGTGCCCAAATAGTATATACTTTGGGCCCAATGTACCTATATAGGGAGTGCTTTAAGGCCAAAGTATATACTATTTAGGCACATGGACCCTTAGGGTTACGGGACTCCAGGGTGTCTGGTTGCAAGGAACCCGACTTCGAGCTTTCGATTCAGCAGGCTTCATACACCCGGAAACCATGTAGGCCAAACCTTGCAAGCACCGAAACCCTAAACCCCAAACCCTGATATCTTGTAGGCCAAAACTTTAAAGCTTCGAAACCCTGATCCCGAACCCTTGAACATCTGATCCCCAAACGGTCCAATCTCAAGCATATCGGGCCTGGAGCATTGACAAAGCAAAAGAGATGTCTGATGTCTGCAAGTGAAGACAAGACCACATCAAGGTTCAGGGTTTGGGGTTTAGGATTTAGGATCTAGAGCTTTAGGGTTTAGGGTTTAGGATTTAGGGTTGAGGATTTACAGTTTAGAAATTATAGGGGTTAGGGTTACAGTTGAAGCCAAAACGTTGGAAACCGAATAGCCTCAATCCCTAATTAAGAGTAACGTATAGGGAATCCCAACACTGTTTGGCCTTAATCCGGTTTGCAACATTATAGGATTTACTGTAACCTGGTTTTCAGGACTCGCTTACTTGTTGAAATCATGATCAGGAACCCTCGAAAGGTAGGTTCTTCAGGGTCCAAGAACCCTCAGCCTTTGCCTGCTCTTGAAAATACTTGAAAATGTAGCCCTCTCTTGCAGGGTTTAGAGTTTAGGGTCCAGGGTTCTAGGGCTAGGGTCCTTGAACTTTGTGGTGACATCATCAGGCTTTACTTTTCCAATTATCCACTGCAGAATAAACGCAACAAATTGCAACAGAGAGGGACCGAGACGCCCCTCCCGAAGGTGTCCCACCACTTGAAAGCCAGTTTTGACGATGTCTTGCTTGCCGGCCTGCGTCAGTGTAGGATCAAAGTCGGGCTTAGCGCTCAGGGCTTTGGGGTAGTTGTTTTGGAGCCTCGTTTATGGTTCCTACGTACGAGTAGGTAACCCTGGTCCAATCCTCATTGCCCCAAACACAGACTCGACATAACATGATAACCTCTGATCGCCCCCAAACCGAAAACGCTTCGAATCCTAAACCCCTTCCTTGTTTGTACCCGGCCTGGCCACTGTGTGAAGAAAAGCGAAAGGACTCCCGACGCGTATCATCCGCCATGCCAATGGGGATGTGAAGGCTCGGGAGAGCGGTGCTGGGCTTCGCCGTGGGATCTCCTTTCCGTCTTTTTACTCCCATGCTCCGCCTTTTTGCAACTTGCGTTTCGTTGGATTCTGAGATGTTGCGTGTGGAATCCTTAGCCGCCCTTAGAACCCAAACATCATTTATGTTCTTACTTATTTATCCCCTTAAGTTATTCTACTATAACAAAAATCAAACTTAGTTCCTAAGAGCAGTAAAGAATCTGGTTGCCGGAGCCTCGAGTCCCGTCTGGCCTTTGGAGCTTTCTTGGCCTTGCGCCGGCGGTTGTCTGAGCGAGTGGCGCGGGGGCGTGCCCGGCGCTGGGTGAGCCTGGGTTCTTGTACGTAGTACAAGCTGCCATGAAGAGTAAACCCTATGATTTTCTATAGATCCCCTAAGCCATATGATGGTAGCTTCTTAACTTAAGGCCCCCATAATATACTACCCCTTATATAGAACCCCCGACCCTTAAACAAAAAGACCGGGAGCTGAGTGCGCGGAGCTGCGCAGCTTCCAAGGAACGAGGTCCTGCCGAGCTGGTGACCTTCCTGCAAGGAAGAAAGGAGAGAAGGCATCTCCTTAGCCAGAGACTCCAAAATACCTAATTCAGGAAGATACCTTAAATTTTAGTAGGACCCCGAATATGATGTAAGGAATATTCCTTGATTGAAGCATCTCCTCGGCTTGTGTTTTCAAAGACCCTAAACCCTAAACCCCGTCTAGGAGGACTGAGTGGCCAGCTCCTTGGCTCACGTTCCAAGTTGCCGTACTTGGAGGGACTCACTAAGGGTTCTTAAAGGCCTCCTTAAAGGGATCTATAGGGTTCCTGAAAGGGGTCTATGGGGTCTAGGGTTTGGGGTCTACTTGGAGCACAGGGGCCTGAGTAAGTAGGTTAAAGTAGAGTTATACTCACGCTAAATGGAGCTACCCAAATGATAACCATACTTATAACCGACTTACTCCCATTAGGAACTCAGGGAACCATCTGTCAATTATTAAAATATCCTTGTTATGACGACCTTGAACCCTGAAACCTAAACAAGGACATAGTTTCTTTAATATGAGTAAACCAAAGGAACCTCGCACCCGACACCCTAAAGGGAACTCCGGAAAGTTGGAATATGGATTAATGGTAGGATCCCCTATTATTTACCTTGAAGGGGTCACAATAATGATATTCCAACTTTCTGGCTTCTACTGTAAACCCTATATCTACTAAAAACGGGCGCAGCTTCTGTCATGGGTGGAAGGTTGGGTGCTGGCTCCGAGCAGACCTCAGCTGCGGAGGCCTAAGCAAAAACAACTTCAACTTGAAGTTCTTTTCCTAGACCCAAGAGTAACCCAGGAATAAAAAGGGTACCCTTTTTGGTTTAAAGGGGCTTATAAGTGGTTTCGGGATAAGTATCCCAAAAGGTGTAAAATTAGAAAGCGGGATAAGTAAGTATCCCAGAAGGTGCAAAAAATATTCTCCCAGAAGTTAAAAAACTACCATGCCAACAAACGTACACAAGAAACACACAACTATCCAAATAAATGTAAAGCTGCCAAGAGTCCCACTCCAAACCCTAAACCCTGAACCCTTCACCAAAAACGTATACTCACTCAGCTACTAAGAGTCCCTCGGTGAAGGGAGAGCCATGAAGCTGAGCGAAGCCTCAGTTGCTCTTGGAGGCCCGTTTAAACATGGAGGTTTCCGAAAATTAGGGGTACCGTATTTGGGGGTCCTTACAATAAGGATCTGACCATTAAGGGTACTATATTGGGGTCCCCTATTTTCGGAAACTCCCCAAATACTTCCGCCCCTTCTCAAGATCACACTGTCTACTGTATACTATACTCTTTATACTCTAGAGTTTATGCTGTATACTCTGCACTCTATACTCTGTACTCTATACCAGAGACCCCTGGCATTATACTCTAGTCTCCACTCCAGGTAACAAAACTTACCTACTTTCTCTAGACCCAAGAGTAACCTGGGAATAAAAAGGATGCCCTATTTGGTTCAAAGGGAGATATAAGGGAAGCTACAACCTTTAAAAAGGGAATAAGGGCCTACTCTGGGTCCTAGTTCTTCTCAAAAACGGCCAAGAAGCAGTAGAGAGCATTGCGACGAGGAGACTGCGCAGCTTTCTTGCCTCGGGCAAGCAGAGCTTGCTGTTGGCATTCCGGCGAAGGAAGCTCTAAGCGGGAGTTTCAAAGACAAGGCTTTTTCTTGTTGTTTTTAATGGGTTCCTTGTAGGGTGCCCAAACCCCACACACAGCAATAGAATACCCCAACCCCAGTCAAATCCTGGCCACCACAACAAAAACCCGTGAAACACCCAAAACCCTAAACCCCAAAACGCCTAAACGAACATCAAAACCCTGGACCCTAAACCCCCAAACCCGAAAAAACCTTAGACCCTAAATCCTAAACCCCCTTTGTCCTGAATCCTTAGCCCGAAATCCTCAACCCTAAACCCTAAAAACCCTAAACAACCCTATAAACCCTATAAGCCCCATAAACCCTATGAGCCCCATAAACCCGAAACCCTTAAGCCCTGCTAACCTTATAGACCCTATGACCCCTTAGTAAGCCCTAAACCCTTAAAGCCCTTAAACCGTACTAACCCTACAAACCCTAAACCCAGAGCCTGCTTCCGTGCACGATTCCAGCCGGCCATGGCACCCGGAAATGGCAGTTTCCGGAAATAGGAGACCCTAATAGAGCACCCTAAATAGTAGGATCCGTATCACAAGGACCACAAAATAAGATACCCATAGTTTTCGCAAATTCTCAGATGGGTGAAGGCCGGCAAAGAAGGGCAGAGCCGAAAAAGCTCTGAAGCTGGGTCCTCAATAATTAGGGTTACAGTAGAAGCCCAAAAGTTGGAAACCCAATAGCCTCGATCCTTAAGAGTAATGCATAGGGAATCCCAGCACTATTTGGCCTTAATCCGGTTTCCAACTTTATGGGGTTTACTGTATAGGGTTTACAGGGGTTGGGGCTTATAGGGCTTGTAGGGTTTATAGGGGTTAGGCTTTGAGAGGTTAAGGTTTATCGGGTTTAGGGTTTAGGGATTCTAGAGTTCACGCTTTGGGGTCTTGGCTTGGGGCTTGGGGGTTTATACGGTTTTAGGGTTTCGGTTTTGCTTGAATAAAGGCCTCTTTGAGTTGAAAAGGCGTTGTTTTGCTTGTCTGGTATTCCCGTTACATTTCTCTTAACGATTGAGGCTAGTGGGTTTCCAACTGTTGGGGCTTCTACTGTAGGGTTTAGGGGACTCAAGGGTTCCTTTAAACGGTTCCTTCAAGGGCGGGGGAATAGCTAGATACTCGGTTTTAGGATAGTAGTTATGTAGGTCAGGATCTTGGATCTTGAAAAATATATGATTACTGGGTACTTGGACCCTTGGGTTATATTCGGGAACCCTGCAGACTGGGCTTTTAAGTAACCAGGGGGAAGAAAGTATAAACTTTTATTTCATAAGGGTTCCTTTAAGGAAAAAAAGTATTAAAGTATGGTACTTCAAAGCCCAGAAGAATCTTGTTGGTGATTCTCGGACCGCTGCCTTAGGCTTAGGGACTCAGTACCTAAGCCCAACGAAGCTTCACCTTCCCTGGGCAGGCTATATTCCTTAATTAAGGAATACCTTAAGCCGGAATAACCTGCCTTTTTAGGGTTCCTTATTATGATTTCTGTATATAAGTCCCTAAAAAGGTAGGTTATTCCGGCTTAAGGTATGGCTTAAATTCTATAGGGTTTCATATTATGATGTAAGCTATATTCCTGAATTAAGGAGTATTTGGCTCTCTGGGCTTGCAGGACGAGGAGCCCCTTCAGTTTCTAGGATGCCCAGTAACCTAGGAATAAACAGGGCTCCCTTCTTGGTATTGGGTAACTTTATAAGGAAGCTGGGACTACAAAAGGGGAATAAGGGTACTACTGGGCATCCTAGAAATAGCCCCAACGACTCATATAGTGTGGTCTTTGGGCCCAAAAGCCTTAACTTTTCAGCTGTACCAGGAGTATACGACGCCAAGGCTTAAAGGTTAGCTATCCAGCTGCTAAGTAGGGGTTTCGGGTGAAGCTTCGAGGCTACCCTAAACCCAACCCTAAGGCTCCTGGACCCTCGTAGTGAGATCTCAACCCTTAGCCCCCAAAGCCCGAACCCCTCCCCCTGAAAGCCCATGACCCCTTTTGGAGCCTCAGGGTAAACCCTAAACCGACCGGGTGCACTCTAGAAGTTTCTGCAGGACACACAAGGCTGAGGCGAAAAGGCACAGCGTCTGAAATGGTTAAGGGTTTAGGGTTTAGGGTTTAGGGTTTAGGGTTTGGGGTTTAGGGTTTAGGGTTAAGGGTTTAGGGCTTAGGGTGGAGAGCTTGTGATGAGTCAGGTGCACCCAGTACCGCCATTCCGAAAACTCGAAGCCTGTCAGTAGATCGTGAAGTCTGAATACCTAGGGACTGCCTTCCGGTGCGCCGGGGGAACAGTGGGTGGGGTGTCCGAAATCCAAAAAGAAGATAGAAAGGCTATGTTGTCGTTGTTTTGGGTTCTGTTTTACTTAGAGGCCCGGGGGACTTAGTAAGTAGGCTATAAGTAGAGTTATAAGTACCCAAAAGGGAGTTACCCCAGCTATAACCCTACTTATAACCGACTTACTACGTCCCCTGGGCCTCCAAGTACGGGGTCTTGGGCATGAATCTGAAAGATCCTGCTGCTTGGGGTCTATGTCGGGGTCACCTGCTCTGAAACTCCCATGCACGTCTTCTGTTGCGGACTTCTGATTAGTGAGAAGGCTCATGCAGGGTTTGGGGCTTAGGATGAGAGGGTCTAGGGCTCTCCGAGTCTGAGCTCTGTGGCTGACGTTTTTCAAACTTTTCTCTATGAGAGATAAAGAACCAAAATACCCATAGGCCCCAAAGTAGTTCCTTTTGGGGATTACCTTATGGGATTCTATACATGAACCCCAAAAAGGAACTACTTTGGGGCCTTTGGGTAGAGGTACCCTCAGAACCGGGCATGGGACAGCATATTACCCTGAGTTGGGGATTAAGGCTCCAGTACGACATGCCAAGCCTGAGCCGTAAACCCCGAGCCTTGTAAACCCTAAGCCACTTAAACTCTGGCTTTACCTTACAATCCCAGAAAGAGTACTCTAATCCGATTAACCTACATCCGAAACCCAAGTATTACAAACATATTTCGGTACTTTGGACTCCTACTGTAATGGTCCGACGGACCCTCCCCGCGACCGTCTTTCTGCCCCACGGAAACTCGCACTGACATGCTTTTGCAGCATCGGGAGCTAGGAATCGTGCACCTGAACGGTGCTCAGAGGCTGAGGGGTTGGTGATTGAGGGTTGGGGGTTTAGGGTTTAGGAGATTTAGGGTTTGGGGCTTTAAGGTTTACGGGTGGTTCATGGTGTGTCGCTGAAAGTTGAACTCCGGAAGGATTCTTTCATCAGAGTGTGGGACATAAACCTGGGTCGCGAACTAAGGTCTTTGCAGTTGCTGCGTGTTTAGCCCAGTTCTTCTCTTCGGCGGTGAAAGTTAAGGCCTCTATATATATATATATATATATATATATATATATA